AGTTACTAATAAAATCCGAGTCTGAGCTTGGTATACTTGATATATATAATACAAAAATATAGCAATATATGTAATAAAAGTATTAATAATAATAAGTACTCATGAAAAAGAGTAATTAATAGATTATTATAAGAATATGCAAAAGTTAAAATTTGGTCATATATAATCTGATATAAATTATTGTATAATGAATATTATAAGAAGTAACAATTATAATCATCCTTTTAAAGATAGTAAATCTAACAAACCTGGTAGTAACATTTTATAAGAGACCATTAAGATTTGTCCTTTCATATATCTCAAACATTATTAAAAGCATGCATATAAAGAGCTAATTTAATTATTGTTAAGAACTATTTTAATAAGAACCATTTTAATAAGCTTTATAAAATAATTTAAAAAGATTCACTTATTACAGATAGAAATTGGAATATAGATGAAACGGAATATTATATTTTCCAAAATATAAAAAATTATTGCTACAGATGGCTCTTACCAAAAATCTATAAACTATTATACAGAAATATCTATGACTATATTTCTGTTATTCTGACAATTTCAGCTACTAGTAGTTATATATTACCTTTAATTATTTACAAAAGTATTTACACAATTCCTAATTTGTTAAACAATGCCTCAGCTAATACTATTATGAGTTTTACCAACTCAGAATATATGCAGAAAGACCTATTTCAGATGTATATTAAGCACTTTATTAATTTTATTTTTTCTAAGTGCCCAGTTCTTTTAATATTTAATAGTTATAAAAACTATATAAATTATATAAGTATCAATTTTTGCTATAAAAATAGAATACTGTTATATGCTCTTTCCATATATATCACATATATCCTTCAACTATCTGAGCTCTCTTTTACCAAACTTAAAACAGAATATAGCAAAAATTGTACAAAACTTCACAGTGAAAGTGACAAATTAATAACAAAATATATATTTGCCAAAATATTTGGTCTAATATTTATAAAAACTTATATACCTAAAACAATTACTAATGTTTATAAAATTATAGGAATTTGGCTTTTTAGTCCTAATGCTATTAGTCTAAACTGTCTTGATTCCTCTCTATCTACAAAATAAATTGATATGTTATATTCGTCTACATCATTTTCTCAACAAAATTTATATTCCTCTATATTGTCTGCTTAACTCATTCATTATTCCTCTATATTATCTTCTCAATCCATTCATTATTCCTCTATATTGTCTTTTCAATTCTCCTTTATATTATCTTCACAACTGATTTATTGTTCTTCTGTATTATCTCAACAAATTTATTATTTTCTATTCCATATTTTTAATCAGATTATAATTCTACCCAAGCTAGTGCTACTATAGAAAATAAAATATTAAAATTAGTGATTAGCTTTTTAAAAAAAGAAATTAAGATATTAAAAGATAAAAATATTTTTATAAAAAAAAATTATACAGTATAATAACACAAAAGAAACTTGAAACTTACAAAAATCTAGGTACTTGTCTACTAAAACTAACATTTAAGTAACTTACTCTCTGGATTTCAATACAAACTAATAAACTAAAAAATCAACTAATAAAAAATCTCTACAAGCATTAAAAGAAATAAATAAATAAGCAAAGAACAAGACAAAAAATATCAAAAAAAGAAAAGAAGCTGCTGTTCAAAAATAAGCAGATTGGTTTAGACCACAAATAAACTAGTTTAAGTTTCTTTTTTTGCTATTGTATGATATAAAGTTTAAGTTGTAATTTTTTTCTGTATAAAAGATTTTAATTAAATTTCAATAAAAACAGAGACATGGTCTCACCATTAATATTCAAAAATAAGCAGATCAAGAGGCAAAAAAAATACAAAAAAGTTAAAATTAAACAAAAAAAAAATGAATATATAAAAATAAAAAATATGATCATGTAGATTTGATATGCATATTAGTAATACATAGTGATAGTAGTGTACTATATACCCTACATGATAAATCATAATAGTAGAGTATAATATTCCATGTATACCATAATAGTAGTGTACCATAATACCCCCCAACCTCAAAAAACATAACAGTTTTTAAACGATTTTTTAAAGTCTAAAATATCAAGTTTTTTTTTTAAAGTGTAGGTTTTTTTTTTATCATGAGATAGTAAATCGAATGTTATATTAATTAAACAAATCTCGTGAATAAATATGCTTTTCATAAAAATTTTTACTATTAGCAACTCTTAAGTGTACCACTAGGAAGTTCGAAGCGAAAATTCGCATTGTCAATCACTATATTATGTTGTGTAACAGAACGATTTCTGGTACACTGACTGCAAATCATCACGGCTCTTCTATTGGATGTTTCGGACAAACATTGCATAGACGTGCATTCAAGTTTGCTCAAACAGAGTCCTCGCTACGCTTCGGACAATAATACCCGTACCTCCTTTACGTTAATAATTAACAACTGTTATTTTGAAACTATACGTATAACAGGAATTGTGAAATGGCACATAACATACGGGATTTACGTACGTACGTATAATAATTTTTTTTTTTTTTTATTTCATATACTGTGTATTACTAAAATTATCAAATTAGATTAATGTACGTAGGCCGATGTTAATCAGTTTAGGCCGAATAATCGACAAATTCCCTGTCTAATATGTAATCTTAAATTTTAAACGATGTATAATTTGATCACTTTATAACCGCAACAAGAAATCTGGAAACTTACGATATTTGCATGATCGCACAACCCAAAAGAGTTTCAGAACCTTGAAAGTAGTACTAATCTCGGTTTCGTACGTCAATACGTAACTTTATTACATTGGTTAAAATGTCTATTCCTTTCACTGGTCAATGCAATTTTTCACTTCGTTATTGAGAATAAATAAGGTTAATTATTGAAAAAAAATTTTCTTATCTAAAGAAATTCATTTTAAGAACGACAATAGAATGATTTATGTAATTGTTATGTAACAATCCGTAACAATCGTGTAACGTTTAATGGAGCCGCAAATTCCGCTGCAGTAGACTTAATGGATAAATAACACAATTTATGACCAATGAATGATGTATATTTAGAATGACTCATCAGTGATATGCAAGTTCTTTGTTTTTTAATCAAGCGGATATAGTCAAAATACAAACACCGATGTTTCACATTAAGGGAAGCTTATCACCGAATCGATCTGCGGGCATAATTACTACGTACGTAATAGTAAAGTAAAATGAGCAACTTTATATAAAAGGGACAACATTTTTACTTCTTTAACACACAAGTTTACACGATTTTTTCTAAATCAAATAAATTCTCAATTCTCAATATTTTATTAACTACCGCTTAAACAAAATGCAAATTTTCGTTAAAACTCTTACCGGAAAGACGATCACTCTTGAAGTCGAGTCGTCAGATACAATTGATCAAGTTAAGCAGAAGATTCAGGATAAAGAAGGAATCCCCCCAGACCAGCAACGTTTGATTTTTGCTGGTAAACAACTAGAAGACGGTCGCACTTTATCAGATTACAACATCCAAAAGGAATCCACACTTCACTTAGTTCTTCGACTTCGCGGTGGTATGCAAATTTTTGTAAAAACACTTACTGGTAAAACTATTACCCTTGAGGTTGAATCATCCGACACCATCGACCAAGTAAAGCAGAAAATTCAAGATAAAGAAGGAATTCCCCCGGATCAGCAACGTTTAATCTTCGCCGGAAAACAATTAGAAGATGGTCGTACTCTCTCGGATTATAATATCCAAAAAGAATCTACTTTACATTTAGTTCTCCGTCTTCGTGGCGGTATGCAAATTTTCGTCAAGACCCTCACGGGTAAAACTATTACACTTGAGGTGGAGTCATCTGACACCATCGATCAGGTAAAACAAAAAATTCAAGATAAGGAAGGAATCCCCCCGGATCAGCAACGCTTGATCTTCGCCGGTAAACAGTTAGAAGATGGTCGTACCCTCTCAGACTATAATATCCAAAAGGAATCTACCCTTCACTTAGTGCTTCGACTTCGTGGTGGTATGCAAATCTTTGTCAAAACCCTTACGGGTAAAACTATCACTTTAGAAGTCGAATCTTCTGACACCATCGACCAAGTTAAACAAAAAATTCAAGATAAGGAAGGTATTCCTCCAGATCAGCAACGTTTAATTTTTGCAGGAAAGCAATTAGAAGATGGTCGTACTTTATCTGATTATAATATTCAGAAAGAATCTACCCTTCATTTGGTTCTTCGACTTCGTGGTGGTCAATAAATTAGAGAGGATTTTATATACAGTGTTATGTGAATTTGCCCCTTGCATAGTGTAAAGAATTTTTATTTTTGTTACATAATGAATATAAAGTAAAATACTTCTTTGATCTTAAGAATCAATTATTGTATTTAACTGTATATTACTATGCTATTAATTGTAATTTAGAAAAATTTATTAATAAAGCTCATTCGACAGTCGTTTTTTGCAAGTATACATTGCCGAATATTATTTTTAAAAGATTAATTGCATAAAGAATTGGAACTCTTTCTAGCCTTTGCAATTCATGTGGTATCTTGATAATAATTTGAATTGTATTTATAAAAAATAATAATAATAATAAGCATGTTTATAAATATTATAGTTTGATTAAGGTGTTCTCCTCAAGCAGTTCTCTTAATGAAATTTGATAATTAATTGAAGTAACCCTTATAACGATTAATTTAAGCAGCTTTTAAAAAAAAATTGGTCGTATTTCAGGCTTTTTCGATTTAAATGTCAATTTTTTTATTCAATCAGGTCGTTCTTTAAATTCATGAGGGATATGCTTGAGAACATCCTTAGCCCTTACGCTCAATTATTTGACTGATTTAGAAAGCTCAAAAACATAAAGGAATAAATCATGTAAATCACAAAACTTTAGCATAAAAAATAATTCGTTCGATTTATTTCTCTATATCTTATTTCCTACTCTCGCTTATCTTAATCCTATTTCCTACTCTCGCTTATCTTAATCATATTTTCTTACTCTCGCTCATCTTAATTTTTCTTACCATCCTCAGCGTTATAAGGATCTGTAAAGACACTTTCTTGAGACTGATCCCTTGAAATTTCATCTAACATTCCCTCCGTATCTTCTCTTCGGCTCACAGTATCGTGTTTTTGTAGTTGTTGCAGTTGTGCGTGTGCCATACATGAACTGAATGACTTATAACTAACTATATATCCTATTAGAACCGAAGAAGCTTTAAATCACAAAACATTAATATATATCATTCATTAAAAGTCTGTATAGCTAACGTGTACTTACACAATACCGATAATGCAACTTTGTTCGATGGTAGTTTCAGAACCCTCTTCGACAGAATGCCTATGGTTCCATGGAACATTATCAATTAAAAAAGAGATGAATTATCCAATGTATAGAGATATTAACGTTGTCCGATCATTAGAAGTTCGCTTTCCCTATTTATCTGCGTGATATACAATCCATAACGATAATTAAACTAAGTCCTTACCTGTCAATATTCCTCCACAAACACCACCATAAAATCCATCCATCTTAGATTTTTGTTGGCATACTTTTAGTGGGACAAGCTTCTTTTGACATATATAAAATTCTTAAAAATTTGACTTTTTAATCTTTTTTTCTTTTTTTAATTTCATACTTGCCGGACGTTTTTCTGCTATTCCTTTTTGTATGTCTGTTAATTTTTCCATTATCGTTATTAAATATGATTTTAAAGAATACCAAAAAATTTAAAGTGATAAACTTATCTGCAATAAAATTGAAAATTTTTATATCAACCAATTATGGGGCAGATCTTTTATACAATATGTAGTTCAAACATCTAGATATTTATAATTGCACACTCCCTATAAGTAAACACCTTTTTGAAATGAACATTTAATTTTTTGATTTCAAGCTTGAGCAATAATATTTTATATAGGTAGATTAGTGGTGCCATAAAAATGGCTCGGTCATGTGATCTCAGACCACAGGCAACATAGCGATTTTTACTAATAAATTTATTAAGTACCGAGTTTTTGAGGCTACTACGTATCTAAACTACATTTCTCAGGTCAAATCCGAAGTCCGAATCTGAATCGTCGGATCGAATTCCGGAAGTTCTGGTTACACGAAAAGGTAACCTACTAGATTATGCTAGAGGGTTTGACCAGGACCCCAAACAAATATTAATGAAGGTCATATTTGAAAAATAGCTAACAGAGGTCAAAATTTTGCAAAATTAAGCAATTTGATTGGCTAAAAATTTTTTTATCCAATCAAATTGCTAACGGCTCAAATATAACCTGTTATAATTATTCGGGACCCTCTGTTCCGAGTTAAAGCAAATTTTGATCCATAACCTGTCAAGAAGCTGTCCCGACGGTTCTAGGTCGCACAACCAAAATTCAGCAGATCGGCCAAAATCTAGGCTGGCACTAAGTAATAATACCAACCAATCATAAAAATTAGCGTCTGGGCAATTTTACTTGGTACCTGGGATACTGCTTTATCATCAATTCCGGTCTATTCTGACTTGAATTTTGGTTAATCTTCCAAATTTTGGTATTACTAGGGTTGAAAATTACACTTTACAATCTTATATTTCAATGTAATTTTGCGTAAGTTTCAGTAGCATGGATTTTACACGTGATATAAATTATGAAAAACTTAGCTAGCATTATCGAGCTATAGTAGGTTAGTGATATTCAAAAAATTTTACCGTTTCGTGTAACACGAACTTGCGGAATTCGAACCGACGATTTAGATTCGGAACTCGGATCGGCCCTGCGAAGCACTAATACAAGCCTAATACAAGCTACAGTATATAGTATTATAGCAAAATTACGATCTGAGCAACTTTATTCACATAGTACATCGGTTAGAGGGTTTATTAGCAAAATTCGGGTATAATTTATTAATCGGTTACACGAAATGGTAAATTTTTTTGGACATCACTACAATACCGCATAAAGTTGAGGGTTCACCAAAATTCAGCAAATCGGCCCGAATTTGGGTCGGAATAGGCCGGAGTTAATAAATTTTTTCTAAAATCACCACAAATTTTAATAATAAAGTGGCAGCCTATGCACTAAGTAAAGCTGCCCAAATGATAATTTTGTTATAATATAGTCGGCCGATATTATTGCTTAATGTCACTTTGCTCTGGCCCATCCCTGACCCAAGATTTGCTGAATTTTGGTAGACCCTCTAATCTACTCCCACTTTGAAGCCACTTCTAATTTGCTCAGAGCTGCTCCAGTTCATTCTAGTTTCACTCTAGCATATTTTTAAACTCACTCCAACTTGGGCTAGGCTTCGGAGCTCTGGAGTATGCTAATCCTACAAAGCTCTATTTAATTTAGCAAAATTTAACGTTGACACATATTTTGTATTATAAAGCATTAAAAAGCAAACTTTATTTTTGGTAGCAATTTCTATAGTTAACAAGAAATTAGATGCATAAATCGGTACCGATCTCTTATTTGATGCATTTGCTTATAATCGAGCTTGTACGTGTTATATCGATATCAATTGTTATGGGTTAAGCTTGGTATCCAATCAAATATGGGCTGAATTTGTATATTCGATATTTTTCTGGACATCGAAAATCGAAATGTCCAGCCCAGCCGTGCGAAACCCTACTAAGAACTTTACCACATTACACCTGATTTCGAACCGCCGAATTTTTTGGTGCGCCGCTAATTTATACATATCGATATTTAATACCTCGACAGTAACCGTTCAAACAAAAACAAAACGAGCCTGGGGACTCCTCGAACCTTCCATGAGCATTATTTAGAAGTATGACCCCCGTACTAAAAATCAATAATTGGCTTATCGATATTATATTGCTGTATAATGACGTATCATGTTAAAAAAACAAAGAAACGAGCCAGTTTTTTGGTATCTATGGTCTATACTAAACGTAGAAGTCAAATAAATCGTACCATTTTAATGTTGATATGTTGTTATCCACGATTAGTCATTAATTTCTCCGCAATTACAAAGGACCATTTATCGCAAAGGCGTAATTATATGAACCTTTTTTTTAGCCAAGAGATCCTAATGTGGCTAACTATCTATAAATATATTTATTTATTTTCTGTAAAACACGTACGTACAATTATTAATATTGATTGATATAGTAAATACGTAATTCTTCATTAGCTTTATAAATCTTAAAATACAATATAAAATCTATATATAGTACATTATTCAATAAATGAATAAAAATAAAAAAAAATTAATAAAGAATATTTTTATCTATCTTTCTTTAAATCAATCATGTCTTCACGGTTAACACCGACACCGATCCATTCGACTAAAATGAATAAATTTATTTTAATCAAGCAAATTACAAATAACTATATTAGAATAACTAAATTAGTTATTAAAATTGAGACTTACTAGGAACGCCAAGATAATTTTCAATAAACTTTACGTATTTTTGCGCATTTTCTGGAAGTTCTGAAAACCGCCGACATTTTGAGATATCATACTTCCAGCCTTGTAATACCTCATATTGGATGGTCACTTTCTCGAGAATATCTAAATCGGCTTTTATAAATTATTATATGGTTTTAGCTCGGTCAATTTTTCTCACGTTTTAAATAAAAATAAGCACAATGCAGGCATCATTACCTGGAAAGCTTTCTAAAGGTTTTCCGTCTATACAATATGCAGTTGCCACCTTAAGTTCATTAAGATTGTCCAACACATCAAGTTTGGTCAAATTCAGACTATGATGCATTATAATCAAGTATCATATGATTAACAATGCTTCAAAACTACTAAAAACTATCCAATTAGTTTTACCTCGTATAGCCGTTGATTAATGTTGAATATTTCAAAACTACAAGGTCAAGCCACCCACACCTGCGCTTTCGTCCAGTGGTAGCACCGTATTCAGCGCCAACGCGTTGTAAATATTCTCCTTTTTCCTATCATGTTAGAATTTTATCATATATGTTAATATGGAGTTGAGTCAATAGAAATCAAGCAAATTTTTTATAAGTAAATTTTTTTAAACTTTAAACAACAATAACTTAACAAAAATTTAATCAAATTTAATAAAATTTTTTTTAAATAAATTCTACAAACCTATAGAATTTATTTAAAAAAATTTTTATTAAATTTGATCAAGTTTTGGTTAAGTTATTGGTATATAAAGTTTTAAAAAAAATTCAATAAAAACAATTTGCTTGATTTCTATTGACTCATCCCCATATATTGTATTACTTAATTTGAATCAGTTATTACCTATCACGTACTTACATCTGTCAATTCGGTAGGAAATGGACCTCCTCCTACTCTCGTTGTGTACGCTTTCACAACGCCGATCACTTTATCAATCTTGGTTGGTGGAATACCCAGTCCAGTGCTCACCCCACCAATAGTAGTGTTAGAGCTTGTCACAAATGGGTAAGTACCAAAATCCAGATCAAGCATCAATGCATTAGCTCCTTCAACAAGAATCTTTTTCCGCGACGTTAAACATTTGTGCATAAAAGTCACACTATCTACAATATAAGGTTTTAAACGTTCGGCAAAATGCTACATTAACGTTCAGTGAAGCGCGTCAATATGTTATAAATTCTTAATTATCAATTAAACACGTAACATATATGGTCTTTCCTAACCTTGTAACGTTCGATTTCGCCTTCAACGTCATATTCAAAATAACCATACCGTTTTCTTCTGTTCTCTACTAACTGGCGAAATTTTTCTGCAAACGCCTCATGATTTGATAAATGATGAACACGTAAACCAGATCTAGAAGCTTTGGACGAATATGCGGGTCCAATACCTTTCTTCGTCGTACCGATACTAAAAATTTCCTCATTAGATCCAAAATTATCCCAGGCAATTAAAGATGTTAACGGTTTATAATTACGATCCTCCATGTTTAAAATTGTGTTTAATAGATTTAAAACCGTAAAAACATCTATGATTTTAAACCGTTAACACCCTTACAGGCAAAATGTTTGGATAGTAATAACTAAATTTCACCTTGATCGTCCCAATTCTTTTTCTTTCAAGCCATCAACTATCTGATGAAAATCAAACACTAAATGCGCTCGATCCGAAATTAAAAGACGACCACTAGTATTTAATCCTATAAAGTCAATAGACCTTTAATATACACTCCCCCATAATGAAAAAAAATATATATATACCATTACCAACCTTTTTCTTCCAAAACTTTCAATTCCTCAAAAAATGATGGAAGATGAACAACAACTCCAGAGCCAATGATTGACACACAATTAGGGTTAATCAAACCTTTAAATTACGACGAAAAACACGTTAACTCTTTACCAACAAGAAGTAAATAAGAAATGAAAGGGTAACTTACCAGATGGAAGCATATGAAAATCATATTTTGTACCGTTTACGACTATTGTATGTCCGGCGTTGTTTCCACCCTAAATATCATAGTTGAATTTACCATTTTATTAAGGTGAATGGTTTTATCCACATATTGTAAATATATACTTACAGCGCACCGTGCACAAATATCTGCTTCTTGTGCCAATAAGTCAACTAGCTTACCTTTTCCTTCGTCTCCCCATTGGGAGCCCAAGACTACTGTAACGCCAACGTCAGAAATGTTAGAAGTTGTAAATAAGCCCATTTTTATGAATTTTATTTATAAAGTCTCGGGTTTAAACTTTATGGTTGATAACGTAAATGTAAATTTCGGGCTGAGCATAAAAGTTTATATATTTTGCAAAAAAAAATATATGATTGGAGTACTGTACAATGCACGTGAATAAACATGGAATGTACGTACGTACAAATATAAACACGCGTATGGATGAAAAAAATTGCTGTCATATTCACAAAATTTATTACAGTAATATACTGTATTAATTATGGTGGAACAACGTTGAAAATAATTGGTTATTAATACGCGTGATACCAATCATTATACGTATTAAATCCCGGAATATGTATTTATAATATTTTAAACCGAATTACGAATAAGGCAATCCCATCGTTTAAAAAGTATTTCTTTGTATTAATGCAGAATTCATATGCTTGCATCGAATTGTTATTTTGGGTTCTACGATATAGGATAACTTTCTCGTGATTGGTCGTCACATGAAATTGAATAACACGTTATTATTGGCCAATTGTGAAACAT